TTTTTAAGAATAGATGATAAGGCTGAAAAAAAAAAAATCCATGCCCATCATGTTCAGCTTCTAGCAAACATGTTGTTCTTTAACTAATTTTACTTCTTATTTTAAATATAAAAATATGTGTATGCAGCGAGGTATTTAAACAAAGATGACATGTAATCAATAAAAGTACAGAACAGTACATCCTAGTGTGTTTTATTGTCCATTACAAAATCAATATGCTCACAGAGGTAGGCTATACTAGGTGTGTCTAGAATGCTGCTGAGAAACATTACTAGTGAAAAGCTACAAAAAGATTTTGTTGGCTCACTCCAATAAGGAGATCTGTATGATCCCCACTCTTTCTTGAATTCTCAACATCTGATAAATAGAGCTATTACAAGGAACCCATCGCATGGTTTTTGAAAAATTTAGACATATCGCAATACATCAATAGGATTTCCATCATCCATGTTTAAATATACAGTCAGTCCCTGAGTTATGAACAAGATAGGTTCTGTAGGTTTGTTCTTGAGTTGAATTTTGTATGTAAGCTGGAACAGGTAAATTTTTTTAAGTGTAGCTCCAGCCCCAAAAAATTCTTTTTCCATTTTGGATAGCATAACGAAGGGTTAACTGGCCATGCAGGGATATGGGATTGCTGACAGCTCTGCTAGACAGTAGGTAGCAGCATGCGGTGAGCAGCAAGATAGCCACCCAGAGGTTTGCAAGACCACCGTGAGATCACGCTGCCTCCGTTTTTAAGTATGAGTCGTTTGGAAGTCAGATGTTTGTAACTTGAGGACTGCCTGTACATTAAAAAATGACCATATTGTTAAGAAAAGGCCCAAGATTTTTTTGATAAATGCATAAACCCCTCCCAACAGTCAGCCCACTGCTTGCATCAGGGCTGAGGGCCCTTGAGAGTACTTAGGCAGGGTGCTGTGATGTTTTCAGGAAGCTATATACAGCACCCTGCCAGCCCTCCCACCAACCACGATCTGCCTGCATTAAATAGAGAAGCACAGAGACCTAATGATGGCATCACTGGGTCTAAAAATAAGATATGTAATGAAAACAGAGAGCAGCTTCATGAGCGGGGAAGGTGGAACCAGGAAAGGTTTGATCTAAACCATTCCATTGTAGCTCTAGCTGGATGTTTAGGGTCGTTGTATTACTGGAAGGTGAACCTCCATCCCAATCTAAAGGCTTTTGCAGACTCTAACAGGTTTTCTTCTAAGATTGCCCTGTATTTGGCTCCATCCATCTTCCCATCAACTCTGAACAGCTTCTCTGTCCCTGCTGAAGAAAAGCATCTCCACAACATGATTCTGCCACCACCATGTTTCCTGGTGGGGATGGTGTGTTCAGGGTGATGTGCAGTGTTAGGTATCCACCACACATAGTGTTTTGCTTTTAGGCCAAAAAGTTAAATTTTGGTCTCATCTGACCAGAGAACCTTCTTCCATGTGTTTGCTGTGTCCCCCACATGGCTTCTCCTAAACTGCAAATGGGACTTCTTATAGCTTTCTTTCAACAATGGCTTTCTTCTTGCCACTCTTCCATAAAGGCCAGATTTGTGGAGTGCACAACTAATAGTTGTCCTGTGGACAGATTCTCCCACATGAGCTGTGGATCTCTGCAGTTCATCCAGAGTTACCATGGGCCTCTTGGCTGCTTCTCTGATTAATGTTCTCCTTGCCCGGCCTGTCAGTTTAGGTGGATGCTATGTCTTGGTAGATTTGCAGTTGTGCCATACTCTTTCCATTTTCGGATGATGGATTGAACAGTGCTCCATGAGATGTTCAAAGCTTGGGATATTTTTTTATAACCTAACCCTGCCTTAAACTTCTCCATAAGTTTATCCCTGACCTGCCTGGTGTGTTCCTTGGCCTTCATGATGCTATTTGTTCACTAATGTTCTTTAACCAACCTCTGAGGGCTTCACAGAACAGCTGTATTTATACTGAGATTAAATTACACGCAGGTGGGCTCCATTTACGCATTAGGTGACTTCTGAAGGAAATTGGTTCCACTACATTTTAGTTAGGGGTATCAGAGTAAAGGGGGCTGATTACAAATGCAAGCCACACTTTTCAAATGTTTATTTGTAAAAAAGTCTGAAAACCATTTATCATTTTCCTTCCACTTCACAATTATGTGCCACTTTGTGTTGGTCTATACACATAAAATCTCACAAAATACATTTACATTTTTGGTTGGAATATGACAAAATGTGGAAAATTTCAAGGGGTATGAATACTTTTACAAGGCACTGTAAACACACTTGCCAGCTTTCACATGAGGAAAGTACTGCCGATAACCGGCAAGTGTGAAAAGAAACATCTACAGTGATAATCAGGGCATTTTCAAAATGATAAAAATTTCATATGGGTACAGTGTTGCATGACCGCACAATTGCCATTCAAAGTGCGACAATTGACCTGGGCAGGCGAAGGGGGTAAAAGTGACGGCAGGCAAGTGGTTACAGATTTGTGTTATGGTGCAGGTTAAGAGTTAATTTTAGGGTTACATTAAGTTTTAGCTTTGTGTGAATGTACTCTGTTAGAATCAAGTTCATTCATGTTATATAGAGTATAGAATGGTTAAAACCCCTGTTTTGCCATCTGTGTAGAAAATATTTTTCTCTCCTTCAAATACAACAGCAAGTGTAAGAAAATCTCTCTAAATTGAGGGAAAATGTCCCATTACACAGTTTTCATTGAATCAACTGTCCCCATTAGAATATCTCCTTTTTATTGCTGTTCTGGTAACAAATCAGCATCCCTCACTTTCATTGATGATGGTCACCAGCACAAATAGACAGGATAAGTATTCTTATCAGGGACACAGACAGATTCTAATCCTACCCTAATACTAAAAACAAAATGTTTGGGGCTTAGATACACTTTACGTTAGGTACAGATTAGATGTTGGGGACTCCTTGAAACACTATCTAATTTTTACATCTTCTTCTTACTAGAAAACACTCTTTGATTGCTGGATGGAATACAAGAAGGCCATAGTTATCAAGGTTTCATACACAGGACTGAATTGTTTTAGAATGGTAAAACAGAAGAGAATACTACTGATCTCAAGTCAAGTGAAATCTGCACTTAACTAACCTATAAACAGTGTTGTTATATCTGTAATGTTTCCAAGTGAACGCCGGTATGCTCCTATTTATCTTATCTACCCATCGTGTCTCATCGTTGTGGTTTGTCAGCAGTTGCTACCAGTTATGGGACCCCCCATTGAGTGTGTGCCAGAAGAACATTTCCTCTGCATGAATCACCAAACTGGGGACAGTGCCAGGATACTTCTATGATGCTTCCATGGACTGTGACACACGTCTACTCTGTTCAGCTTATTGGGGAGGATACTGTCTATGTTTATCAATTCATAGGGTCATTCTAGGAAAATATGTGTGAAGTCTGAATGGCGTGTTTAACATAAAAGGTAGATGGGCATATCTCTGGAACTGATGTTCATCAAGTACAGTCAGGGGCGGACTGACAACTCATGGGACCCCCGGGCAATAGGGGATCATGGGGCCCCTGTGTCCTTGCCCAAACTCAAAAAAAGCCTATGAAAAAGGTACCAGGGGCATCTCATGGGGCCCCCTACTGACCCCGGGCCCTTGGGCAGTGCCCGAGTTTCCAAATGGTCAGTCCGCCTCTGAGTACAATCCATAACACCAAGAAATAAATACAACAGAAAATACAAGAAATATACAACAGAATGACCAAGGGTTGCTTCTGTGGTCACATTTTTGGGTAAAGGCAAAGCTTCTGTAGCTATAAGCTTTATAGGTTCTGGGCCAGCTGTTTGTGATGGGAGTTGTGATGATCAGGGGACGGGACACACAAATATGCTGCAGATCAAACTTTTCGAAGAACTGGTCATTAGTTAACATATTGCGCATACCATCTAATATTGCTTCCACTCGAGGGAAGTGGCAGATGTAATTTTTAAAAAAAGTTTCAATGTCTTTACCTGTGGGTTAAAGTGGTTGTAAAGTCTCAAGGTTTTTTTTTTACCTTCATGCATTCTATGCATAAAGGTAGAAAACTTTCTATATGCAGCCCCCCTACCCCCTAATATTTACCTGAGCCCCATCGAGATCCAGGAATGTGCATGAGAGCCTCAGCTCTCCGGGGACTCTCCCTCCTCATTGAATGAGACAGCAGCAGGAGCCATTGGCTCCTGCTGCTGTCAATAACAGCCAGTAAGGGATGGGGGAACGGGGCTGAGCCGCATCCCTGTATGTGAATGGACATGCAGAGCAGAGATCTGGGAACAAGCCTGCTTGGGTGCCTCCACAGCAAGCAATTTGCTCTGGGGACACTCGGCAGGAGGGAGGGGCCAGCAGCGCCAGCGAAAACCCGACTAGAGCAGGATCAGGACTGCTCTGTGCAAAACCATTTCACAGAGCAGATAAGTATAAAATGTTTGTTTTGTTTTTTTTAATTTCCTTTATTATCACTTTAAAGTATATAGGTACATTAATTTGAATAAAGGTATTTTTGTATACATAAGGGTTGATTTACTAAGGCAAATAGGCTGTTCATTTTGCAAGTGAAGTTGTGCCATGCAAAGAGAATTTTCCCCAGAGCTTAATGAAGGTAATGAACTTTCACTCTGAAAAGAATACCCAATCATGTGCAAAGACAATAAAAAAACAGCATTTTTGCTTGCACATGATTGAATGATAAAAGTCAGCAGCGCTTCACCACATTCACTAGGCAGTGGAGAAAATTCAAATTCAAAGTGCAACTTTTCTAGCAAAGTGAACAGTTTATTCGCCTTCAATAAATCAACCCCATACTTTTTGTCCCTTTTTTGCTTCTTAATTATTTGTGTTATTTTTGAAGGATATCTGAAGGTTTTACATATCAATTCTGTATTTAATTATTATCCTGCCTTGTGATTTTCTTTTGCTGTTCAGATGAAATTTCTCTTAACCTATTTACCTCTCTTCATATAGACATAAAACACTATTACCATTTTGCTTTTACACTTACCTGGACTGCTTCATTTGACACTGGAATTCCATTCTGTTCCATTTTTAGTTCTGGTTCTGATGGACTCTCTAAATAAAGAAACAAAAATAAACATTTTGTATTGTTGTATTTGTTTGTAGGATCCAGCAGCCATCCACACACAATATATATATTTTAGGGTTACCTTAATTAGTACAGTATCTAAAATAATTTTCCCCAGAAGATTTAATTTAAAATCCTAGGCAATCGTTTTTTTTTTTTTAAACCAGTCTTCACTAACTTGTTTCCTTTTATGCATTTTCATTACATTCCTCATGTTTCGTTAATAAATATCAGTAACCGCAACCCTAAGAGATTAAACTGGTTTCCTTTTCTGCCTTAGGCAACATGTACACTGGAACTGCCTTTGGGCATTACCTTAACTGGCAGAAGAAAAATGCTAAACACAGCAAAAACGCGTGTAAACGCAGTACCGCGTTTAGCTCTCAGTACCATGTATAGCCGCGCATAGCTCTCCATAGGGGTTGATTTACTAAAGGGAAATATACTGTGCAATGCAAGTGCAGTTGCTTTAGTTCCTAGAGGAACTTCTGTAATGAGGGGAAGCTCTGCTGATTTCTTTGATCCAATCATGTGCAAGCAAAAATGCTGGTATTTATTTTCCTTGCACGTTTCCCTCACATCTAGAGTAAGTACACTTCCAAGTGCATTTGCAGTGCACAGTCTATTTGCCTTTAGTAGATCAACCCCATTGAGTTCGCTGGTACCCAAATTTTCCCAGAATTGCACATCGAATACTGTAACTAAGTCACCAGCTTCAATTTCCCAGTTGGTGTCTGAATATCGGAAATCATTCATATTAAGAACTACACTTCTGTTTGCTGGCTTTACAGTTTGTTGCAGTTTTGGAACTTCAGCAGCAACATGTTTTAATAATGCGGGTAGCGTTAGCTGGGTAAAGTCTTGTTAAAAATGCAAACTTTGTAGTTTTTGCATTAGCGTTTAGCCGTGTTTTTCTGAGTTTGCAGTTTTAGCGTTGTTTACATACACATGAAAAAACTTTTGCTCAAAAAGCGCTCAAAAACGTCGGTTTAATGTGTTTTACCAAATTTTATCGCATATTTCAGCATTAGAACATTTTATAGCAAAAAAAAACTCCTCTAGAAACCCACTAGTTCTGAGTTTTTTTTCCAGCCAAAAAACGCTGATTAAAACCTATGTGTGCAGGGACTGGGGAGTTTACTGGGGAGTTTACTGGGAGTTCACTGGGGAGTTTACTGGCTGTCGAAAAAAAAAACAACAAAAGCCTAAAAAAAGAGCAACTGTAAAAACATCCAGTGTGCATGAGGCCTAATAGTTATAACAAACCCCAAAATACTACCTAAGAAGTCCAGGGATGAGTATATGTCCTAGAATATTTTTGAGGACCTTTTCTTTTTCCTTACTTCGATAGTGTGTCCCTCTCCCAGCCCTACTCAACAATCTGAAGATCATTGATATGTTTAGTTTGACACAATACAATGTTTCACTTTCCCAGTCTTGCTGACAGATTATCCTATCTGTCCTAATAATAGATTCTGTTCCCCAGCTTTGCCTTCACTGAACTACTATCCTCACTGCAGCAGTCATTCCTACAGCTGTCAGGGGACATATCCTGCTGCAGCACTTGCCAGCCCTGAAATGATGTTCTTAAAACAGAACTTTAATGAAAACACTCTAAATTTGCATGGTAAAAATAGTGCATGCACGCAGACTTCCACAGCAATGGGTCTTGTGGCTTTTCCAAACATTCTTCCAGCTGCTGAGCAGGCAACAGGCACAGCATAGAGCCTGGGATTCTCTATGACCTCTTGGCTTCAGCTCTGCTGCTTTAACTGCCTAGTGGTCATAGGCTTTCCAAAGACCCATTTAAAATAATAAGTCTGTATGCTCCTATCATTGCAGAGACCATCCCTACACAGAACATTATGGCTTCTCCCAGTCCTGCCCTGTGTTCTCCCTCTCATTTGTTGACAACTATATTCTTGAATGTATGAATTCAGTTAATTAACTCAAATTCAATATGAGCATTGGCCAGTCATTCTCATATTGGTGAGTGGCGTGGCACTGAAAGGAGTAGGCATATATAAAGAAACATGGTGTGTCACTGGTCCAGTTGCGCCACTGCAGGTAGCATGGTCAAACAGGTATTGGCTTCCCATAGAGATCTGATAGGGTGGTGGTCACGTGTGGGGTTGTCATACACTAGAGCAGTGGTCTCCAAACTGCAGCCCTTTGCTTGTCTTTATCCAGCCCTTAGGGAACTTTTCCTCCCGCTGATACGAGACTATTCTGCCAACTGACAATGGGACACTTCTCCCATTGGCCTCAACAATGGGGTACTATTCCTCCCTCTAATACCAAACTTGGCAATGTTTACTCTCACTGATGTCAAGAAAGATTCTAATCCCGTTGGCCACAGTCTGGCTCCCCTAAAGTCTGAAGGACAATAAACTGGCCCTTTGTTTAGAAAGTTTGGAGACCTCTGCATTAGACCAAGGCACTAGGAGAAGAAGAGGAGCTATGGGATAGATCAAAGTTGCCTTCAGTTGTATACTCTAGTGGCCAGTTTGGGTGAGCCCACATTCTATTTGAACTTAATGCTCTTTCAAGTATTTGGCCATGATCACAGGTGTCTGGGCCCTATAGATGAAAGGTAAATACAACACCGATGGGAATCCTGTTGTTGGTGAAGTTATATGTTATAGGGATTGGACCTCATGCCTCTTAGGTTTCCCTTGCTTTTTTAACCTACACAAAACAAGTTATCGAAACGATGGTGCAAGTAAACATGCAGTTGCTGTTTATGTTATTAGAATTTAATAAAATAACTTATTAAATTATAATAATAACTTATAATAAATGTGGCTCTATTTTGCTTCTTATGTCCATTATAAAAACTCAACGACCAGTTTATTAGGTACACCTGTTCAATTGCTTGGTACCACAAATTGCTAATCAGCCATTGAATGCATTTAGGCATCTAGTCGTGGTGAAGATGACTTGCTGAAGTTCAAACTGAGCATCAAAATGGGGAAGAAAGGGGATTTAGGTGACTATGAATATAGCATAGTTGTTGGTGCCAGACTGTTAGGGATCCGGGTATGACCAGAAATGTGTGGACTGCCACAGGGAAGTAGCAGGCTTCAGGAACACTGGTGTAGTCAGGGCTGGAGAGATGGCAATGGTCAGGCAGGCCGTTAGGTACTGTCAGGCACCGCCCGGCGGGATCTCTAGTACCCACAGAACGGGATTCCCCAGGGCGCGGAGTCTAAGCCCCAGTCTGCCTTTTCACCAGAGCCCCTGATGGTGGGGATGGACTTGGAGCAGGACTGAGACCAGGTCGCGGCCCCTGAGTGCACCCAACTGTGGTAGAGGGGTCCGCCGAGGGTATGTACCGTGGGAAAGCCTGACGTGAAGAGGCTGGGACCTGGTAACAGGGACAGATCCGTGCGGGATGGATGGATCGTCTGGGTAGCGTCAGGCAGGCCAGGTCAGCAACGTGCGGGCAGCGAGGTACCGGAGGAGAGCAGGCAGAAAACAGTCAGGGTCACAAGCCGGGTTCAGTAACTCACAGGCAGCGCGGTACAGAGGATCAGGCAGAAGGATGGTCAGGCAAGCCAGGGATCAAGCAGGAGAAGTCAGCAGGGGTCAGGATCAGGCAGGGTCGGCAACAAATCGGATAGTCAGCAGAACAGGAACACAGGATACCAGGTACAGGGGCTCATGGGAAACATACACCAAGGCACTGATCACAGGCCTGGTCATTCCTTAAATACACCTCCTGCAATCAGCCCCAGGTGTTGGCTGATTGCAGGAGTGAGCTTCTGGCTGCTGAGAGCACCCGCTGGTCAGCCCTGGTACTGCAGCCCCACACGGCAGGCGAGTCCCACCACCAGTGCTGAGTCTATTCCTGACACAGACGGCCTGGTCTAAGTATTTCAAAACTACTGATGTACTGGGATTTTGGCGCACAACCATTTCTAGGGTTTACATAGAATGGTCCGAAAAAGAGAAAATATCCAGTGAGTAGCAGTTGCGTGAACAAAAATGCAGACAGACTGACTGATAATACAGACATTAGCAATACAGTTCACAGATGATTTTTCGAAAATGTCAGAACTACAACAATATGGTTTACAGGCGCAGGTAAACGATAGCTTTGCTTCCTAGAACATGAGACAAAATGATCTCCTTGCTTTGTGATAGGAACATGGCAGGATCCCCCTTGCTGAAAGACTGGCACTGGTGTCTGTCATCCATGTGAATTTATGCTAGACTGTCAGTATGACTAATGCACATGATTTCACATGTCAGTGTGTGCAGCGTCAGACACCCCCAATATTCTGAGATGTCAGTGCATGTAGCTAGTGATGAATGTTTCTGTTAATCTATGAAATGTTTCTGTGTTTGTGTTTATACTCATGACTGTTTTTGGAAGGCTGACTAAACTGACTCTAGTACTTGTAGTCTGCCCGTGTGATACTTATTCAGGGTGTAACATGTAACATGTTACAACTGCACTGGGCCATCGCACCCTCATATCCCCTGTTGTGACAGCTAGCGGGGAATTTGAGAGGCTAGATCTATCCTCAAGAGACAAAATCTTTGTTTTTTTTCCCATATCAGAAGCGTCGCTGTCTTTCCAAAAAAATGTAGGCACTATATAAAGATAGTGGTACAGTAGTATTCGCTGAGTTAGTTTTTCTTGTGTGAAATTAGATTTACTTAAAGTGGTTCTGAAGGTTGAAGGTTTTTACCATTCTATGCATGAAGTTAAAAAAACTGTCTGTTTGCAGCATCCCCCCAGCCCCCCCTAATACTCACCTAAGCCCCCTCTCGATCCACTGGAGTCACAGCTATCCCTGGACTCCCTCTCCTCATTGGCTGAGAAAGCACCAAGAGCCATTGGCTCCTGCTGCTGTCAATCACAGCCAGGTCAGCCAATGAGAAGAGAGAGGGGGCGAGTGTGAATGGACACATGGAGCAGCGGGGGCCCCTATAGCAAGCTGCTTGTTGTGGGGGCACCTGACGGGAGGGAGAGACCAGGAGTGCCGGCAGGGGACCCGTGAAGAGGAGGATCTGTGCAAAACCACTGCACACAGCAGGTAAGTATAGACATGTTTGTTTTTTAAGCCTTTATAATCACTTTGATTTTAGGACTTTGGGAATAAGTGATCTTGGATAGTGTAACACCATGCCTATATAACACAATTTATTGTTGCATTTGCTGGAAATCATACAATTTGCCGCATTAGACATTTATGACATGTAAAGCTCATGCTTTGAACTTACTGTAGACGTGAAGCTGCATTCTGCTTTCTTTTGTTACACCATTCTGGAACTCCACTCTGCAGATAAACTGCTTGTTATCTTGAGCCTGTACGCTGACAATCTCCAATTTGGAATTGTTTTTTTAATACAATGCGACTTTTCAACTCAGATTCTTCTATGACTGTTCCTTTTGGTCCAGCAGTCAAAATCTTTTGTTCTTTTCCTTTGTCTTCAGGAATTACCTGTTTGGATTCAAAACATAATTACAGACTAACCAGCAAAAAACTGCTTTTGTGTTGGCTCAGTCGCTCATTTAGTGATGTAGCTGTGTTGTATGTGCATGAAGTTTGTCATTTAAGGAATATGCTACTCAAACATTTTACATTCCTGATATGTGCCTGTTGTACCATGTACTTGTGCTAAATAGTATCTTGTTCTGTTGTATTGATTCCTTTGTGTGAAATACTCAGTGATCCTGCCAATCCCCTTGCTTTCCTATTTCAAACTGACCATGCTAGACATTAGAGCACATCCTTCCCAGTGTGGTCAGTTTTCTGGATGTGCAGGGAGCAAAGCCCCCTGCACAGCCATTCACTGGGAAGATCAGTGTACTGCTATTTCTCCACCCTCCACCCCTCTAATTCAACTTAAAACAGAGATAACAGAAGTTTTGCTTTTTTTTCTATTTTAACCACTTATGGACTGCCTGCCCACAATTTTCTGCAGACGGGTGGCTCGTGCAGGCAAAGTGATATACTGGTATGTTGCTGCCTGCTTCCGGGTTTAAGGCACGTGCATGCACCTCTCCTTGCTGCCGGGGCTCTCTTTAATATTAATTGGACCCTGGGCAAACATTTTCTTGGCCAACCCCATGAAATTTTGGTCTCCACCCCAACATCACATAAAACACACATATAAACTTATGTAAAAAAAATTAATAATGTAAACATAAAGAACTGGTTCACACTCAATGATTAATCCAGGCTCACTGATGGGTTGCTAGAGGTTACTGCACATCCTTACTGCTCACTGATTGGTTGCCAGAGGTTACTAAACATGATTACCACTCACTGATCAGTTGCTGAAGGTTACTGCACATTACAGCTCATGGATTGGTTGCTATAGGTTACTGTGCATTATTACCACATATTTATTGGTTGCTAGAGGTTATACACCACATCATTATGATTTACTGATTGGTTGTTAAAGGTTACAGCACATAATTTCCTCACTGCATTCACACCATGGACTGGGGAGGTTAGGGGACCCACCAATAGACAGAAGAACACTCCTAGAGCTTGTTAATAGCAATGAGAAGAGCAGAGCACACACAAATATAAACGTTAGGTAGGAACAGAGCCCAATGTGAGCAGCATACCTGAGGATGTAAATCATTACAGAACATGTAAATCTGAATGTGACTTACTACTATTAGTTACTTATGGTCAGGGGCAGACTAACAACTCATGGGGTCCCCAGGCAATAGGGCATCATGGGGCCCCTGTGCCCTTGCCCAAACTCATAAAAGCCTATGAAAAAGGTACCAGGGCATCTCATGGGGCCCCCTACTGACCCCGGGCCCTCGGGCAGTGCCCGAGTTTCCAAATGGTCAGTCCGCCCCTGCTTATGGTACATTTATTACTATACAGTTAGTACAGTTATCCTTAAAATTCAGACCCCCCTCACCCAGCAAGACCTCCACATACCTGTCCATGATCTATGAAGAACGTTTCTGTGGGACTGTTAAATACAGCACAACCTCCTCACAGAAAGTTTTCTGGCTGGTCTGTACACACATGCGCAACAGATTTTTCATTCATTACTATGAGAAGCACATTGATTGTTGGTCTATCCTTTAAATTTCACTAAAATTTTTATTGTTTTTTTTTCATGGAGCATGGATGTGCAAAAGTATCTGCTTGCCAATTAGCATGAGCCAAGTACACATATGTAAAGCACATTCTGCAGCTCATTCATCAATTAGTTTCAAGTGTTCAAGTGTAGTACAGTATTGCACCTTGTTAGGAATCAATTCATATAGAAAGTTTGCAGTTTAAGTAATGCAGGCCATAGATGGGTCGAAAATCGGCCGATTTTTTGGCCGAGAATAAAATCGGCCGATTTTCAGATCGTTAGTGGGTTAATAGTTCGGCCGTTTTTCGGTATTTTGTCAGATTTTTTTTATCGGTAAAGTTGGAAAAAGATCGGACGATTTTGCCGATCGGCCGATTTTCGCGGCAATTATGGGCAAATCGGCTGATCTTTTTACCGATAAAAAACCTGCGCATGAGCACTGACCTGCAAGAGGAAGACAAAAAGAAGAAGAAGTAGAGAAGAAGAAGAGGAAGAAGAAGAGGAAGAAGAGGAAGAAGTGGATGAAGAAAAAGAGGATGAAGAAGAAGAAGAGATGAAGAAGAGGATGATGAAGAAGAAGAGGATGAAGAAGAGGAAGAAGAAGAGAAGAAGAAGAAGAAGAAGAAGAAGAAGAAGAAGAGGATAAAGAAGAGGATGAAGAAGAGGAAGAAGAAGAGGATGAAGAAGAGATGAAGAAGAGGAAGAAGAAGAGGATGAAGAAGAGGATGAAGAAGAGGAAGAAGAAGAGAGAAGAAGTAGAGGAAGAAGAAGAGGAAGAAGAAGAAGAGGAAGAAGAGGAAGAGGAAGAAGTGGATGAAGAAGAAGAAGAGGATGAAGAAGAGGAAGAAGAAGAGGATGAAGAAGAGGAAGAAGAAGAGGAAGAAGAAGAAGAGGAAGAAGTAGAGGAAGAAGAAGAGGAAGAAGAAGAAGAGGAAGAAGAGGAAGAGGAAGAAGTGGATGAAGAAGAAGAAGAGGATGAAGAAGAGGAAGAAGAAGATGAAAAAGAAGAAGAGGATGAAGAAGAGGAAGAAGAAGATGAAGAAGAGGATGAAGAAGAGGAAGATGAAGAAGAAGAAGAAGAGGATGAAGAAAAGGATGAAGAAGAGTAAGAAGAAGAGGAAGAAGAAGAAGAGGAAGAAGAGGAAGAGGAAGAAGTGGATGAAGAAGAAGAAGAGGATGAAGAAGAGGAAGAAGAAGATGAAAAAGAAGAAGAGGATGAAGAAGAGGAACTAGAAGAAGAAGAGGAAGAAGAGGAAGAAGAATAAGAAGAGGATGAAGAAGAAGAAGAGGATGAAGAAGAAGAAGATGAAGAAGAAGAAGAAGAGGAAGAAGAAGAGGAAGAAGAAGAAGAGGATGATGAAGAAGAATTCCAGTCCGGCAAAAAGTGTCCCTGCAGAGAGCTCCGCTATTTCTTTGACATTTATAGTGGCTGCAACATTGTATCTGTTTCCGAATAATAACATCTGTATCCGAAATGGATACAAATAGATACATTGTTGCAGCAGCTATAAATGTCAAAGAAATAGCGGAGCTCTCTGCAGAGACACTTTTTTCCCGGCTGTAGACGGGATGAAAATCGGCCGATTTTTTTAACCATTCCTGGTAACGTCGGCCGCTTGCACAACCGATTTTTCGGTTTTTTTAAGAAAAATCGGCCGGTTTTCTCCCCATCTATGGCCTGCATAACACCCTTTATTGTTAAACTCAACATGCAAGCTTTTGGGATGCGTCAGGGTGTTCAGTAGCTATTCAAGTGCAAAACTGAAACAGTCCAGTTTTTCCTGGGAGTTATATATACGGTATATAGTCTAAGTTGAACAAGATGGTCTATGCAGCATAGACACATGGTATATGTAACAAATATTTGTTTTTATTTAGTAATATTTATGTATTTATTTATCTTTTGCTCATCAGTATTCCAAAATGTAACTGAATTTGTGTGGTAGGTAATGAAGGCCTTCCATCCCTAACAGTAAAATGTAAAAAAAAACAAGCAATAAGATCACCAACCCAATGATCAGAGTCCAAGGAAGACATTAATGAGTTCATTTTGGAGTGGAACCCAAAATCCAACTTGTATCAGGGGTTCAGTCACTGCCCCTTAGTCAGGGCTGCAAGTAAAATGGAAATGGAATTCATATAATAATTTTGTCATTTTACCTGTGTTGTAGCCCTGGAAAATTGGGTGTGCCTGAACCCATAAGGCTGTAAAGGCGCAGCAGCACACCAATGAGCTCATTCCCCTGCTCCCTCTCCCTTTCTGAGTTCTAGTTGCATTCACAAATTAATTTCAGGTATTCATATAGAGCTGACGATTTATGTAGGACTTTACATATAATGTGCAATCACATCATTCCCTGCCCCCACAGGAGTTGCAAACTAAGGTCCCTGCTTCACATGCATACATACACATTCTAGTCCAATTTACACAGGAAATTATCAAGAATGGTGAAGGTAGGGATACAGCTAAACTACAACATAATCAAGCATGTGAATGTGCTGTGGGGGTGTAGGATTATACTAAAAAGTCCATAGGTCCAAAGATATCTGTGGCAGCTCCTCAATGAGACTGAAGTGCAATATATTGTATAAAGGAAACAGCAGAGAGCGCCAACTAAGCGCAGTATGTAGGAAAAGTATTTTTCTATATACTGTACTTAATTGCCGCACTCTGCTGTTTCCAATTCAGACAAGAACCAACAAACATACCAACATTGCTTTGGAGTGTGGGAGGAAACCCACACAAGCACAGATAGTACATGCAAACTCCATGCAGGTAGTCTTGTGGTTAGGATTTGAACCAATGTCCCTAGTGCTAATCACTAAGGCACTGTGTTGCCAAAATGTAATTTTTAAAATGATTTTTAATACATATATTATGGCCTTCATTGGTGTATTTCCATACAGCTTTAACTGTCTGATAACACAGTTTACATATGTGTTTTTCAAATATGTATTTCAACATTTGGAGTTCAGATTTAATACATTTCAGGAGTTCTTTTAGGTATACAGTAAGAAAACTAAAAATGACATTTAGCCTACCAATAAACAATATTTTATAAAGCACAATAATGATACTAGTTACAGATACTTACATACAACCAATGTACTGTGGCTGATTCTTCAGGCTTGAAAACTTTACATGGGAGGACCACTTTGTCACCCAGCATGACTTTCTTTTCTTCTTTGGTCACATGATGATCATGTTGCCCCCATACCCCTACAAGAAATGCAGTCAAAATTAACAAAATGCAATTAAAGATGTCCAAAAAAACATAATAGTAGCCATAGCCGTGACTTCCCAGGGAGGGCAGTAAGACATCTGTCTGTCCTTAAACTTACTGCAGAAGCTGACTTGTGGCAGTAGTACACAGGGGCGGACTGACAACTCATGGGGCCCCCGGGAAATAGGAAATCATGGGGCCCCTGTGTCCTTGCCCAAACTCAAAAAAGCCTATGAAAAAAGGTACCAGGGGCATCTCATGGGGCCCCCTACTGACCTCGGGCCCTCGGGCAGTGCTGAGTTTCCAAATGGTCAGTCTGCCCCTGATAGTGCATGAAAGAATCAATAATTTATTTTGTTTAGATTTAAAACACATGAAAAGGAACAAGAACGTGACGTATATTTGATGTTAGGTGTTTTATAGCATTTCTGTTGGCTGAAACAGAATTTACCATACATGAGTTTCAAAAAATTAAAAAATGTCATACTACCCATTCCTCTAGACAGTCTTCATCCATCATTTCTATGACCCTCCATACTCCTACCATCGCCAATCCAGTATTGGTGAGATCATTTGAAACACATCTTCCCATGGCTGGATGTTCTGCACCAGCAATGACTGTCTAAGCACAGTTAGTGAGCTAATCACACACAAGCTCGTCAAGTATCATACATTTCAAAGTCCTTTTTACTTTTAAGAGATCTACTTGAATTAGAGTTATTTGTGATGATTGCGGAAATGACTCTGCAACTGTACAACATCAAAACCCAATTTTTAGGGGGGGTTAGCACTAACAGTGGCATTCTCTGCTTCGCTCTCTTGGTCTTGTATATCTACTATTGAAAGGGTTTTTGTTATATTGGTTTGATAAGTGCAAAACACCTATTGACCCTGTCAGAAGGATGTGCTGTGTTTTTTGCTGCAATGTTATCAATTATATCTCAGATATCTCAGAATACTACAAAACACTCCACTATATGTTGTGGAAATAATGATAGGGGAAGGTGTTCTGTAGTTCCGTCTTAGGTTGACAATGTTTCTGCTCCTCAGATACAGTACAGTTAGTGAGCTTTGTCACCCTAGGGCATGAAGTGTGATCAACAGGTAATAAATGAATAAAACACCTAAAAAAGAAAACTTATACAACCAAATCTAAAGGAATGGTAAGCCGTAATATTAAATTTTTTAAATTATGATTTTTTTTTTAAAACAATATCTCTTAAAGCGCTGAACGCGACAGGGGGTATAATTTTTGATGTGGTATGTGTACATTTGTGTCAGACTGCCTTTGCAGCTTAAGGGAGACAGTTGGGGGAAGATAAAAACACTCAACGGCCTGTTTTTACTGCTCCCCCAACTACAAGTGTAAATGACCCCTAAGTGCAGATTTACGTATAATAAGGAGTTCAAGAACTATTTTTTAATGGGAGGCCATAGTTCTATTTTATTCTAGGGAATAGAAATAGTACATACTCAAAAGACACAAGGACTTAATTTTGTCATTTTGTGAGCGACAGTTTCCCGATGCTGCAGTTCCATCAGACACAGCAAAGAAAAGTTTTTACAGAACAGTAATGGAAAATGTTTTATAGCAATTTTATGGAAACATATAAAGGACTATAAACTAATTTAAGTGCATTTCTACAAGGCTTAAAATGAGAAAAATAATTTTAAAACATGTAAAATATTTAAAAACTTCATTCAAGAGTAACAAAGAATACAGCAAGAGCCACAAAAAAGGAAAAGGGGCTGGAAAGCAATCAAAATGAAATGTGAGCGGTTTAAACACAGTAACAGCAATCCAAATAAATGTTTAGAAATATTAGTAGTAAAAGATAAGGCATGAGAATGTAGAACCTGCAAAAATGACCAGGCTGAGTAGCTCAGTGAAGACAAGCAGAACATAAATTGAATAAATATCTGCTTCAAGGCTCAAAAACCTGGACCAGAAAGTTTATACAGATGAAAACTAACCTCATGTTATTTCCAAGGCATTATTACTAATTTGTATAGACACTTTAAATGCTTTAAAGTCCACCTTTAGTGAGAAAATATTAAATGCACATGATTTTGTAGGTAATTATGTACATTCATTTTTTTACCTTGGAGCCTGCAAAGCACTGCACCCTGGATCAGTAGATTGCAGGTGTCAGGCTCCTACAGACACTCCTGAAAGCTCTCTGCCCATACCTGCATATGAGAGACAGTTACTCAATAAAGGAACTGCCAGTGAACTACAAACCATCTACTGGGATCTCTGTGAATGAATGATACAACCAGGGGTGGACTGACAACTCATGGGGCCCGGGCAATAGGGGATCATGGGGCCCCTGTGTCCTCGCCCACACTCAAACCACACCCAAAAAAGCCTATGAAACTTACCAGGGACATCTCATGGGGCCCCCTACTGACTCTGGGCCCTCAGGCAGTGCCCGAGTTCCCCAATGGTCAGTCCGCCCCTGGATACAGCTGCATGGACAGAACCCCGCACAGCCACACTGTTTTTAAAATATGACAGTGGGTACAGGGAGAAGAACAACCGACCGTTGTCACAGCGGTGCGGTGCTGCAGAGTAGCATTTTGCATGTTACACCCAAAATATGGATGTAACATGTTACTAAAAGGTGAACTCAGGGGTGGACTGACCATTTGGAAACTCAGGCACTGCCCGAGGGCCCAGAGTCAGTAGGGGGCCCCATGAGATGTCCCTGGTACCTTTCATAGGCTTTTTTGGGTGTGGTTTGAGTGTGAGCGAGGACACAGGGGCCCCATGATCCCCTATTGCCCGGGGGCCCCATGAGCTGTCAGTCCGCCCCTGGTTGTATCATTCATTCAGTTTGGGCAAGGACAAAGGGGCCCCATGATCCCCTATTGCCCGGGGGCCCCATGAGTTGTCAGTCCGACCCTGGGTGAACTTTGAAGCAGCTGGAAGGACCGGCAAAACCAGTCAGGTTTCCTGCCCTTTTCCTATAATGTCAGCTGTTGGAATGCTTCTCCCTCCCTACCTCCTCCATCTATAGAAGAGAGCATGGTGCCCTTGGATACAAATTTGTGGACTGCCACCATCCATGACAACAATTTGGATGTCCTAAGACCCTAAGTACCACTTTATTTGAACATTATATGGCTTGGAACTTACATTGATTAAAGCGAAGTTCCACCCAAAAGGGGAAGTTCCAAAAGGGGAAGGATTCACCTTTGCCGAAACAGGTACCCGCTCCCACTTCCGGTCCGATCACCTAGGCGATCGGAAGCAGAAGGTGTCCTCCCTCCCTCCCTCCCTGTAGTCTTTTGGGACACGTGACAAGTCCCAGAAGACTACAGGACCATTCACGAAGCGCAGCGCTAGTCGCGCATGCACAGTGAGCACCCGGCTGTGAAGCCGCAATTTGTCACAGCCGGGTGCCCACACTGAAGATGCTGGCCTCCTGGAATACAGTACGGCCGGTGAAATGAGCTGTAGGGGACACACCGAGGGACAGGTAAGTGGCTGTTTTGTAAAAGTCAGCAGCTAGTTTTTGTATCTGCTGACTTTTATTTTTTGACAGCGTGAGTGGAACTCCGCTTTAAGGTGGTGGCTTCCTTAATAGGCATTTACAAGCTATGCTTCATACGATCGCAGGAACTTCTCTACGAGGATTCAGTTGCCAATGATTTATGCTGTTAGGCTACAAGCTATACGTAAAGATACATGTGATAACATGGGCACTTCTCTCTAGAAGTCTTCCAGTGTTTCCTCAGGCTGGTGGCTTCCTCATTAGGCAATTACAGATTATACTCCATAAAGTTTGAAGAACTTTCCTATAAGGATTCATTTGCCAACAGAGTATGTTATGAGTTATATACAAGAATATACAGTATGTGACAACACAGGTACCCTTTAATTGGGAGGCTTCCAGTGATTTCCGATATATTTGCCATAGTGTATTCTCTGCTTAAACTTCCCACATGTGAGTTGGTTCTACAATACATTCATTACAAGAATCCACCACAGACTCTGAGTGGTCATCTAGCCACAGGAAGTGGTCTATCCTTGGATATTAATGTGTGTCAAGCCGTTTGCTGGGTATCTCATTTATCTAGGGATACATTGTAGAAATTCATATACCGAGGTTGAGCTTAAGTCTGGTTTTAATTTATTTTTTTTCTGAAGGTGAACTTTAATGACCCGTATGGTTACTGGATTTAGAACTTTGTTTAGAACTGCAAGTTGTTTTGTACCCTTTAGTTTTTTTTTTCATGTCAGTATAGATCACTTCAGGAGCTACACAAAGGGGTTGATTTACTAGAGTTGAGAATATTCACTCAATAAATTGTAGCGGAGTTCATTTTGTATACCCAATCATGTGCAGATTAACCACTTGAGCTCCAGGGGATTTAAACCCCTTAACGACCAGGCCTCTTTTTGCTACTCTTTTGCTAATTCAACTGATAATTGCGCGGTCATGCAATGCTGCACCCAAACAAAATGCATTCTGCGACATGTCTTTGCTAAAAAAAAAAACCCAATACGTGTAAATTAATTGGTTTACGTGAAAGTTATAGCGTTTACAAATGGCGGGAAAGATACTGGGATTTTTAGGGTTTTTTTTATACTAATAATGGCGGGACTGCGGCAGACATTCTGACATTGGGGGGTACTGACTTGGGGTCACTGACATCCCCAAAAACACTAATACAGTGATCAGTGCGCAAAAAAAAAACACTGACACTGTACTAATGGCAATGGGGAGGAAGGGGTTAACTTTATTTAGCAGGGAAGGGTTATAGGAGTGAGGGGAGTGTTTTTTACTAGGGGGCGGGGGTGTGTACTGGACAGGACAAGGCTGATCGAGAAAGAGAAACTGTTCTTTCTCGATCAGCTCATCCTCGAGCTGACAGGGAAGTGACAGACAGCACAGCTTCTGCAGCTGTGCTCTCTGTCACTGTTTGCCGCCGATCGCCGGGAAACAGCCACTAAGGAGCGGCTGTGACCCGGCGACTCACATCTGCGGCGGTGATCTGCGGGACAGA